TGAGCTGGCCACACACACACACACACACACACACACTCTAAATAAATAAACAAATTTAAAAAAAGTTTTAAAATAACATTGTATCTGTAAGAAATCTTTCTTGGGTTTTGATGGGAGTTACATTAAACGGTGTATCAGTTTGGGGAGAACAGTCATCTTTATTAAATCTTCCTGTCCAAGAATATGATTTCTCAGGAAGCAGAGGCAAGAGGATTGCTGTCAGTTCAAGGGCAGCTTGAGTTATTGTGAAACACTATCTCAACACCTCCCATGAAAAGATGACTTCTTTATTAGCTCTTTGATTTACTTATTCAAAATCTTGTGGTTTTTAGCACTTCTACTTTTATACATCTTACTAGGTTTTTAAAATTATGACTGAAGACAGCAATTATTTAGGTTCTGATTTTATGACTGGGCAAATAGAGCTGGGCTCTGCTGGGTGGTTCTTTGTTTTTGACTGGGTGTACATCTGGAACAGTCAGGCTGGCTGGTCTCACAGGCTGTTGGCTGGGACAGGTGTCCCTCCATGTGGTCCCTTGTCCTCCCTCACACTAGACCAGCTGTCTCACATCTGTATAGAGGTCCAAGAGAGGAAATAGATAGTGTAAGAGTCTTGAAGTCTAGGCTTGGGAGTAACAGACATACAGTCATTTCTTTCACATTTTATTGACTAAAGCAATGCCAGTCCACATAGTGGGGAACATACTGGCCTTGAACTCACTATATATCTCAGGTTGGCCTCAGACTTGTAGTGATCCTCTTATCTCAGGCTCCTGAGTGCTGGAGCCACCAGCAGGAACTAAGCCTGGCTCCTCCACTGTAAAGGAGCTGTACCCTCACATTGCCTGGAGGTATGGATGCAGGAGATTGTTTATCAGAAATTTTAAGTCAGAGATGTCCACTTTTTATTTCTCTCAGCTTCTTGTTCAGGACTCCTTGCTTCAGATTTTCTCACACTACTCAGTAAAGGTAGACAGTTTCTTTAAGGATTTAGAGGGCTTTATAGGTCTGGCAAACATCAGTGACTTCCTATAGCTGGAGAGTGGCAGCCTTTACCCTGTGGGTTTGTGTTTTTGAACCCTGCTGTGGGTTTTCAAACACCAACTTTTAGAATTCCTCAGAAGCACAACTTTCAAATGGGATCTTCCCAGTGGCAGTTTCTCAAAGGACAATTCTAAAGCTGTATATTTCAGCTATAATGTCCTATTCACGAAGGAGATTTTCCAGTTTCTGGGGTGAGAAGTATGCTGTAGTTTGACTGTTTTATTCTGCTTAGTTTTCTGGCTGATGAAAGTCTATGTTTGTTTCAACTCAAATTCTATAAGCTTTACTTTGTAGCCTCTAGTGACCAGGAAGCTTGAGCAACTGATGTTTCTGTGAAGAGAGGCTCTGGAACAGTATAGCCCTTACAAGCATTGCCTGCTCCCAGGACCAGGAGGAAACACAAACCCAGGCTGAGGTCCTTTTCCTTAACCCACACTTCCCTCAGGGTACTGTGCTTACAGAACTCTGCAACCATCGAAAACTGAGGGGAACTCCCTGTTAAAACAGTGCAGATCCCAAAATATATGTAGGTTTTTGGGGGAATCAGATTTCTTGACAGCACTGCTCTTATGGAAGTGTTCTCTCGCTGTTCTAATTCTTTTGGCCTGGAGCTGGTTGAATACTTTTATAGCCACTGGAGGCCTGTGATACTCTCCTTTATAAGGCTTGCTGAATTTGCTCTGTCTTATAAGGGTCTATGAGAATCCCAAAAGCTCCTCCTCTTTCATCTCCTTGATTTTTGCCTGAGCCGTCTGGTAAGCAGGTCTTAGTGAGTACTGCTTCATGGTTTCCATGATTTCTTTGAAGTCTACTTCTGACCACCTCATTGTAGCTTTCATGTTTCTATTATGGTGGGTGCCCACAGAATCAGGTGTGAAAAAGTACAAAAGGGCTTTGTCTCTGTGCTGGAGATCCAAAGGATCCAGTTGAAGGCCTGGAGTGCTGTGTAGTCTGTTATGAGTCTGTATGTATCAGGAGGCAGACATATCTGCAATGGAAGGCTCAAGGGTCTGTGCTGGAAGCCAGGAGATGTCCAAGCTAACAATGAAGATTGGAGTCCTCTGAAGAAACAAAAGCTAACCTTCCTTCTTTGTTTCCTTTTAGGCCATTCAGGCAGCAAGCCGATCTGTTGCTGTCACTCGCAACCTTCTGTCTTTAGTAAGTCCCTTCAGCACACCCAGAACTATGCTGATCCAATTTAATTGAATGTTTCTTACTCAACTTTTGCACAATTAACTATCACAATCTGGAAGGACTGGAATTCCAGGTAGCATATCAAAGAGAATGAATGCTGGCATGGTGGTACACACCAGCAATCCCAGCACTCTAAAGGGTTGAGACAGGAAGATCACAAATGGATTCCTGATACTGAGAATTTGTTTTCTTGTTTTTTGTCAGTTTCCCTGTAGTTTGGTCAATTTTTTGAACTTTTAATGAACTGACTCATTGTTTTGTTGATATTTTCCTCCTATCCAGTTTCCTTGATTTCTGTTCTCCTTTCCTTCCTTTTGCTTGATTTTTTTTACTCTTTTTTGAGTCATTTTCTTATCACTGGAACAAAATAATTGACAACTGCAATTTAAAGGAGGAGAGGTATGCTTTGGATCGTGACTTAAGAGAATTCAGTACATGATACACTGGTTGCAAGGCAGCATAGTGGAAGGGTTCCTAACAGAGGAAGAGGTGTTCATCTCATAGCTGCTGGAAGCGGAGAGAGCAAGAAGAGCCAGAGTAAAAGATACACCCTCCTAATGCGTGCCCCCAATGACCAATCACCTCTGGCTGGGCTGTTTTGTCTCATAACCCATTCAGCTATGAACTTAACAGTGGATTAGTCAGCTAATCAGTATAGCACCCCCATGATTTGATCATCTTCTGAAAGCCCCACCTCTGAACATATGAAACTTTTAGGGCACCTTTTGAATCTTAAACCATAACTTTTTTTTTTTTTTTTTTGGTACAGGAACTCAGGACCTTGTGCTTGCCAGGCAGGTACCATGCTGTTGAGCTACACCCTGGCTAAATCATAACACTTTTTTCTGGATTCTTTATGTGAGAGCCTGGCCTGTGAAGAATTATCCTCTTTTCTTATACATGCATTTTAGTGCTTTAAGCTCCCTCATTGTTTTATCTGTGTTCCACAGAAATAAATTTCTTATGTGTTGTTTTATTTTTTATTTTTTTATTTTTTTGGTGGAACCGGGGATTGAACTCAGATCCTTGCGTTTGCCAGTCAAGCGCTTATCCTACTGAGCCATCTCCCCGGCCCCTGTGTTGCTTTATAGCCCACGATATGCTCTATCTTGTTATACATTCTGTAGTATTTGAAAATAATATGTACTCTGTTGTTGAGAGAAGTGTTCTTCCAATAAACACTGATTTGATCTTATTGATAGATATGATGTTAAGTTCTCTACCGCTGAATTTCTATTGGGTTGTTTTATCTTTGAGAAAGAGATATTTAAGTCTTCAAGTACTATGAATTTTTCTATTTTTCTTTGAGATAAGGTCTTGTTCTGTAATTCAGTCTGTCCTTGAACTCACTTTGTAGCCCAGGTTGGCCTGGCCTTGAACTTGTGGAAATTGTCCTGCCTCAGCCTCCTGAATGCTGGGATTACAGGTATGCCATACCTGGCTCTATTTTTCTTTCTAATCCATCTGCTTTTGTTTTGTGTATTTCTTGTGATATTCAGTGTGAATACTTCCTCTACATGTATTTTTGTTTGGGGTAAGGGTTGTTTCATTTTTTTGAGATAAGATCTCTGTAATTCATCCTGGCCTTGAACTCACTGATTCTCCTGTCTCACCCTCATGAGTGTTGGAATTATAGGTGTGCACTACCACACCTGGTACACAACATGTATTTTTTAAAAAAAAGAATAAAAAATAGTCCATGTTATGCCTAAGATGTTTGATATTCAGACAGTGAGGTTAAGCTTAACAGCCTAGGTTGTATAGTAATAACAATAAGCTTCTCTTCTGGAGTGTTAACAACTTATGTTTGCAGACCAAAATTAGAGAAAAAGGAGGGCCTCAAGGAAAGCCAACATTTTGGCCCTCGCCTTCCAAGGTCAGTTAAGACTCAGGACATATGAGAACTACTGTAATGTCATGTAACTCAGTAGTGTCCCAAATTTTCTGATCAAGGAGATTATGGGGCCAAAGAGGAAAGTGATCGATGATGTAGAGTGTGCCTAAGGAGAGTCACATGGAGAGAAAACATTCTCTCAGAGTTTCACAGAGAGCACATTGGCCAAGCAATGGCCGTGACTCATCCACATGGCTGACACTGACAAAGAATCTACAATCTGAGGTACAGGATCTCAGGATAAATCCTGAGGGGATTTCACTGACCTTCTCAGACCCAAAAGCTACAACTCTTGTTGCACAGGTCCTGCTTTACCTTGGTCTTAACCATCCAGCAGAAAAGTATAAAAATGAAGTATAAGAAGTAAAGCCATGGTGTTTATGTTGAGCTGTCAGGGACTCAGGTGAACAATTTCTGACATTGCCAGTCAGGCGGAAGCCCCAATACTATTATGGACTACTGGACTCTTAGAATATTTTGCTGAGTTAACACACCTATAATATTCAAATAATGGAAATGAACAAAAAAAAGGGGATACAGATGAATGTCCATTTTGTATCTGTGCATACAAAATGGTTAGGATAGATATGTAGTTACATTCTCTTAATGAATAGAGGGATTTGTTCTAATAGTGTTTGTAAATAGGATATCATGTCTGCATCTTGTACAGCAATTAACCACTAGGAAGAATGTATGCAATGTGTGAATTATTGAAACTGTCCTGCCAATTTGGTTTGAAACTGTCTCATTGCTATTTGTTTCTCAATAAAATTATGGAAAAAAAGAATAAAAAATACTAAAAAGAAATTTTAAAATGATAACAAAATTTGACTAAACAAAATGGTAGGAATTCAATGATGTTTATTATATTGCACATTGTTGTCTTCAGATTAGTTGTTGAGATTACCAGATATAAGCATGCAAAATTGGTCAGAAAATTAAAAAGAAAAACAAATCTAATCATTAACTGTTCAGTGAATTGACCACTAACATGTATTTTTGAACCATGTCATAAGCTGTGCTTCAACCATCAAAAATAATTTAGAACACTTGAGAATGGAAGTCTGTTGCATGTAGCTACATTTTCACTTAATCATTTTCTTTCTGTCTCTCACATGTTCTAAAATACTTCCAGTTTGTTTGGCTAAAGGAGCATCCTTCTGCCATTGTTTTATTTAGAGTAGGTCTGCTGGTGACAAGGAATATTAGTTTTCTTTTATTTGAGAATGACTTCGTTTTTCCTTCATTCCTAAAGACTATTTTCTGTGCATGTAGAATTATGTGCAGATTTTTTTCTATTTTAGTACTTGAGAATGTGCGACATTCTGACTCTGTCCCAGTTGTCTGTGTGTCCTCACAAATGAGCAACAGATATATATATATATATATATATATATATATATATATATATATATATATATATATATATATATATATATATATATATATATATTTCTATTTATTTGATACAGGGTCTTGCTGTGCAGTTCAGACTCGTAGTGATCCTCCTGTCTCAGCCTCCCCAGTGCTGAGATTACAGGCACGTACCACCACATCCAGTTTGGGGGCCGGCAGGGTGTGAGATACTGGGGATTGAACCTGGCTCCTTGCACTTACCAGGAGGTACTTAGACCACTGAGCTAGCTCCCCTGCCTGCAACAGATATTTATTTATTTATGTATTTATTATTTATTTATTTTTTTGCCTTGCCAGAAGCTTTGTTTTGATATATGAAGATTTATTCCATAAAACAATAAAAACTGAAGATTCCCAAATAAATCATATTCTACAGTATAGTAAAACATAATCAGATTTGAAAATATGCTCGACGGAAGCTAACTGAAGTAAACTGTACTCTTCTTTTCCAGATTATTTTACTTGAAGTACTTTGGAAATGGAATTGAGTTTATGGGAAGTCATGAGTTTACTGAGTTTAGCATATTGACTTATTAGATTAACTTTATTTACTTAAAAATAGCTGCTTTTTCTGAAAATGTTTATTAAAATATATAGGAAAGGTCTTTAGTGTAAGTAAAAGTGCCCCAATATAGTATGTATCATGCTATAATCACAATTATTTACAATATTTTCAGAGAAAAATGACATTTGAATAAAATGCAAGAAAGATAACATCACATTTTAAACCCTTGATATTTCTACTGATTCTTCACATGCTGTGATTGATAGTTCCCCAGGTTTAGTTTTCCTCTATCTATTCCAGGAGATTTGCTTTGAAAATTTTTTTCGCCATTAAAAATTGTGATTCTCTGTGGGACCTTTTCAGCTTTGCCCGCCAGTTTTGGAACCAATTCTGGATTCTGTCTCTCTCTAGATTTAATTTGTGAGCTAAGTCTTCTCGGATATCAATGTCAGGATAGAGTTTACTCTAAAGACATTTTCCAATACTTCCATCTGGTTTTGAGTAAACACAGTTCTTGGTCTTCGTCCTCTGTACCAGCTCATGTCTCTTTTCAAGGCCAGTCTTTCTGAGGTTGAGAGGTAATGTTTGTGGTTTAAAACTCTTTCTTCTGTCCCTGGGTGATCCACTGTGCTAGGCAGACTCAGGACCGGTAGACACAGGTTACCATCTTTCCCTGAGGAGCTGCAGGCATCTGCCCGGGGCCTGTGAGGCTTCAGCGGCTGTACCCTGTCTTTCTTCTGGTCCAGTCCTAAGATGCTCTTGATGGAAAAGTAGCAGGGTGCGGGTTTGCCTTCCCTCAGCTGGGCCCCTTGCTGCAGGCCGGGAGACATCCTTCCTTGGGCTGGCAGCGAGGGCTCTGATCTTTCTGCCACCTCGGTCCTGCGAATGCCTGCAACAGATATTTATTATAGATCAGTTTCATTTTGTGGACGCTTCTTGCCTAAACCTGCTAACCTGCTGCAGTACATAGTGGTTGTCCTCTACTGGTACACAGCCTCAATCTTGAGATCTTTCTTCACAGCCCTCCTTAGAAGACCCTTCCCATTTCTTCTGTTGGGTCTCTAGTTCTTACCTGATTTTGCTTTCCCTTCTTTTAGTGGCATATGGGGAAGAACTTATTTTGAACTTTAAATTTCTTCCTATATCCTTCTCTTACCCTCACATCTGTTGGATAATTTAATTAGATAAAACTTTTAGGTTGAATTTTTTTTGGTTTTGTTCTTTGAGACAGGGTCTCACTATGTAGGTCTAGCTGGCTTTAAATTCACTATGTAGCCATGGCCTCAAATTCACAGGGATCCTGCTACCTCAGTCTACCAAGTACTGGGATTATAGGCCTATGCCACCATGCCTCGCAAATTGAGAGTTTGAAAAATTGTTCCATCTTGTTATCATTTGTATTAAGGCCAGATTTAGATACTAGGATGTATTGTCTATTTGTGTATTTTCTTCTCTGACTTTTCTTGTGCTCTGAAATTTGACAGTAATATGCCTTGTAGGTTGGTTTTTATCTATTATTGTGGCCAATAGTGTATTCTTTCCATCTGGAAATTCATGTCCTTCAACCTTGTATGGTTTTCTTAAATTTTGTCTTCAACTTCTATTTGTTTTCTATATATTCTTTCTCAAATTACTTTTATATGAATGTTGGTCCCTCTAAGCCAGTCTTCTGCTTTTTCTTTTTCTTTTATTTTGTGCTCTAGTCTGAGAAATATTCTCCACTTTCTCTTCCAATTTGGTTTTTTTCCTATCTTAGTTATATTCTATTTTTAATTTGCAACAATTTTGGGGATGTCTCATGTGTTATAATTTGATCTTTTCAGATTTTTTTAAAAGACAGATTTATCAAAGTCTAACTTGGGTACAATACGAATTCACCCTTTTTATTTGTTTAGTTCTATGAGTTTTGATAGGTAACTACCATCATAATTAAGTTCTTTGGGGATTTTTACCACAATAATGTCAGTATTTTTAGTGGTGTGTGTATGTGTATATGTGTGTGTTATTTTTTCCTGTGGAGATGGTCAGAGTTCCAAAAATAGTTCTGAAAAAAGTGTCTAGGAAAAAAGATTCAAAGCCTTTGTAAGTGGTAAAAAGAAGGTAAAATCTCAAAATTTAGCACATAAACTTTTACTTGATCCCCATTTTAGAATATGTTCCTCACATCCTCATTTACACCTACTGTTTCCCAATCCAAAGGACTCTAATTTACATTGTCCATAAAATAAAACTCTTATTAGTCTGTTTAAAAAATTTTTTTGTTAAAAAATATTTTTATTTATTCTCTTTCAGGTCTCACTGCATGGCTTAGACTCATAGTGATCCTCCTGTCTCAGCCTCCCCAGCGCTGGGATTCAGGGGCACACCACCATGCCCGATTTCAGTGGTTGGAAAGGCATGTGGTTCTGGGGATCAAACCTGAGGCTTTGTGCTTGCCAGGCAGGCTCTTAGACTGCCAAGCTGTTTCTGTGACCCTCTACTCTTTCACTGGAGTAAGGAAGGAGATTGTGACAGTGTCTTAAATGGGTAATCAGTAACTTGTTCTGGGGATCACTTTGGTCTTCATTGCTTGAGTGTTAGGTATGGCCGGTTCCTATACCTTTTGAGGATTCTCCTTTTTACCTTTCTTCTTTGCTGATTGGGGATTTGACTTTCTCAGATCTGTTAAGTCAGTTACCATTTTTGCTTTGCAACTTCTAAAATGTTACCATTTCCTCTTTGTCCAAATGGATTTTATACTTCTAAAAATCCTTTACTATCATTTTAATGGACTTTGAGGGAAGGATACTATTAATAATTGTACAGGTACAGTCTGTTGTCTTTAATTGAAAAAAAAACCTATCTATTTCTTGAGGGCTTACATTGTGGCATCGTGTACAAGACCCTTTACGATCTAGCTTCTGCCTATTCGCTAAGCTTCATTTCCTACTCTGTTGCAGCCAAGCTCCAGCCACATTAAGAGATTTCCAAACTGTGTTGCTCCCTCTTGCTCATGCTATTTGTCCTTTGAGACTAAGTTAAGCTTTGCTGATTGTCTGAGTGGTGGTCCTTGGTCAGAATGTGTATGGTATTGGAATTTCTGTTTACTTTTCAAAACTTCTCTCTCTAGAGGACTTAAACCTAGGGGTACAGGTGGAAGGGCTGCCTCTGAGTTAACTGCAGGAAATCTTACAATTCTCTAAAATTATTTCTATAGTTTTACATCCTTTCTGTATTTTTGGGTAATGTGGAATGTACATCAGAAATACCTGTGGGGATTTTATGTAAACACAGTTGTTTTGGGTTCTACCTCACAGATACGCTGAGTAGTTTCTAAAGTTCGGTTTCATTAAAATGTATTTTCAAACTTCCTAAAGATTCTTTAACATAGGATCTCTGAATATCTTCTACAGTAACTCCAGGCCTCATATATAGCAGATGCTTTTTAATGTGTAAAAAAGAATGAGGGAGGAATCTATGTTTAGAATATGACCTAAAATAATTTTCCTCTGTGATACCAGAGTACAAGTGACAAGTAACTGATTTCCTCTGTATATAATAGAAAGTCACAGCATCTGTTTCCACCAGTACTTCTACCTTTAGATATTACTAGGAAAAGGGCGAGAATAAATCCCCCATCAACTCCAAAAGAAGAGGACAGCTTTGGACAGCTAGCTATAAAAATAAAAGAAAAATTTAAGGATGAGCTTTAGAGTTAGTCATACATGTATAGTCTCATTTTAGTTCCTCTGGTTGATTATTAGAGTTTTTGTTTTGTTTTGTTTTCTTTAACCTAGTCATGTTCCAAAATTTTTAGGCCTCTTTATTACTTTATAGACCTGATTTATTTTATTAAAATGGTTAATGATGTGGAAAATGGGGAGATTGGCTTGTGACCAAAGAATGAAAACATAATTTCCTATAATAATATTCTGCCTCATATTTCCACTGTTTAAGGTTTTTATGATGTGTAAAATACAGCTGTATTATCTGCTTTACTTGAAAACCTCTTTTACAGAGTGGAGCTTTCAATGCGTGTTTATGTATGTGTTAAAAAAAAAGATCAAGTTATTTTGCTTCTCTTATATTCCCCCTTTTTTAGGTAGTTGAAGAGATTATGGCATCTGAAACTCACAATGTTAAAAAACGGAACTTTTGTAATAATATTGAGGATCATTCTACTAATCTTCCTAGAAAAAGGATCTCTAATTTCATTAATAAGAACATGAAGGAGGTAAGTTCATGTTTTCTAGGTGATAAATGAGTTAATTTAAACCAACAAGTCTATTGATAGTTGTAGTTAAATTGTTTAAATAGTGGGGTAAAATTCTGCTTAATCTCTTAGAGTTAAATATAACTAATGAAATGTAATCATTATACTCTTAAAGCTCTAAGACCCTTGTGGCAAGTTTACTGTTTTGACATGCTGTAATTTGAATATTGTAGTTTAAGGTGAAGCTCAGAGATGTTTTTTGTTCATCATTGCAAGGTTTATTAGCACTGATGTGATTTCTCTTAAACCATATTAATACTTCAGCTCACTTATTAAGAACTCTATAATATGTGACTAATGGTATGAAAAATATGGAGATGGATATGTGCTTTGCCAAAAATGCCTACATACAATATCATGCTTAATGATTGAGATCATGGCATCAGGATAGAGAAAACTTTCATCTGAAAAATATACTTGTTAAATTTTAAATTTATTGACATAAATCATAAAGTTTTTATAACTCTTTAATGAACTTAATACTACAACTGTTTACTTTATTATTTAGGTTAAGAAATCTCCAAAACAGTTGGCTGCTTACATAAATAGGTAAGATCTTCTCACCTACAAGTGTATAGTAGTTGTCCAAAGGTAACATAACATTTGGTATCATAAGAGACTAGATTGAGAAGCAGAAATGAGTAACCAGTTGCCTTCTGTTAAACCAAGTATTAGGGATTTGCAAAAATTAAGATATTAAAATATCATTTTTTTTATTGTTAAGGAAAATGCTTTTTAGGGGGTAATATATGATATGTTACTATGTATGTTAGTCTGCTTTTCATCACTGTGACAAAATGCTTAAGAAAAACAGTTTACAAACAAGAAAGTTTATTTTGGCATATGGTTTCAGAGATTTCAGTCCACGATTCCTTGCCCTCTTCCCTTTGGACGTGTGGTATGGCAGAACATCATGGTAGAGAGCATGTGAAAAAGGAAACTGGTGATCTCATGGTTATTGGGAAGAGAAAAGATGAAACTAGGAGCTGGAGCTGATTAGCCCTTTTGAGGGTATCTCCAGTGACTCAATTTCTATAACTAGACTCCACTCCTAAAAGTTCTACCTCTTAGTAGTGCCACAAGCTGATTTAAGTCTTTTACACATGGCCTTCATAGGACATTTCTGATCCAAATTATAACAGTGTTTTATGAATCTATTTTTAAAATGAATTAACTAACGTTTTAAAATGTTTTCTGCTTTAGTTTCTGATTCAGAAACATCAGTAGATATTGCCCACAAAAAAAATAGAGCTCTCAAAATTTTGAAGAATGTAAAGAAAGCATCCTGACACCAAAACATTTGAAAATCACTAATTCTATGAGATTTTCTGTTTTGTTGTCTCATACTTAAAATTAAAAATAGTTTAGCATATCACAATAAACTACAAAATAGTCAAGCTTGCATTTTTTTTTTTTTTTTTTTTTTTTTTAGGGAAGGGTCTACAAGGTGTTACTACTAGATCGGACTCATAGTGATCTGCCTGTTTACAGCCTCCCAGGAGCTGGGATCACAGGCGTGTGCCACCATGCCCAGTCTCAACTGCTGTCTTAGTGTGCCCCGAGGGCAGGGCTGGCAGAGCAGGCCTGAGGATCAAACCCCTGGCCCTGGTTCCTGCTTGCAGGTGCTTTAATCTGCTGAGCTATTTGGCCCAAACTTGCAGTTTGCTACAGTGTTTAAAAAAAGATTAGATGTCTAAGAATTTATAATTTTCATAATAGCCTTTAATGTTTTGTTTCATTTATTTATTTATTTATGTACTGGGAATCAAACTCAGGACCTTATGTTTGCCAGGCAGGCTCTATGCTGCTCAGCTATCTTCCTAGCTAATGTTTCATTTTAAAGGCATTTAGGGGATCGGGGAGATGGCTCAGTAGAATAAGTGCTTGCCTGGCAAGCATAAGGGCCTGAGTTTAATCCCCGGTTCTGCCAAAAAAAAAAAAAAGGTATTTAGTCACGTTTTTCTTCATTTTGTTTTGGTTATTTGTTGACTTGTCATTTGACTTATATTTAATTCATAATTGGTATTTTCCTTGATAGTTAAATTAAGTTCATTGATACATTTTAGATACACATGATAGCATTCATCATACACAATTTGTCCCTGTACTTATATCTTGATTCTTTTTTCTCTATTCTCCTACCCTCCCTTCAATCCTTCTACTCGTAATTTAAAAAAGCTTTATTTCCATTTTTTCCTTCTTTACACGTTTTTCTTCTTTCCAGTCCCTGTCCCCCTCCCTAGATCTTGTTCCCCTTCTTATTTGAACATTTTCTTCCTATTTTACAATATTTATTATACATTTTGGTCTTTATTGACACTTTTTGGTTTCTCATGCCAGAGAAACAATGTGGTATTTCCACATGTGTGTCCAGTTTGTTTCACTTAAGAATATGGTTTTAGTGTGCATTCATTTACCCAGAAATGTCTCCAAGTTTATCGTTCTTTATGACTGAGTAGTACTTACTGCATTATATAAAAACATTATATCTTCTTTATCCATTCATTGGTTGATGGGCAGTTGGGCTGTTTCCAAGATGTAGCTATTACAGACTGTGCCACTAAAAACATGGGTGTACATATATCACTTTTAATTCTTTTGGGAAGTTACCAAGAAGAGGTGTAATTGGGTTGAATGGAACCTCTGGTTTTCATTTTTTTTAAAAAATCTCCACACTGATTTATTTCCACAGTGGTTGCACCAGTCTACAGTCTACACTCCTACCAACAGTGGCAGGATGGATTCTTTTCCCCTCTGCATCCCTGCTGCATTTATTATTCATTGATTTTTTTTTTTTTTATGATAACTATTCTTTCTGGTGTAACATAGAATCTCAGGATTATCTTAATTTACATCTCAAGAGTTAGCATTTTATTATTCTACTTCTAATTTTAGTAGATTACACTCACAAAATGTGGTCTGTTAAATCTCTGTTTAAAATTTTTTAAAGGTTTTCTTTTTTATTCACTTAAGAAAATAAATTCTTTTACAGGACAGTTGGACAAGCTGTGAACAGCCCAGATATACTACATAAGGTGATCTATCGCAGAAAGAAAGTTCATCATCCCTTTCCAAATCCTTGTTACAGAAAAAAACAGTCCCCTAGAAGTGGGGGCTGTGACATGGCAAATAAAGAAAATGAACTGGCTTGTGCAGGCCACCTGCCTGAAAAATTACACCATGATAGTCGGACATATGTGATTAACTCCAGTGACTCTAGTTCTTCACAGACAGAAAGCCCATCATCAAAATATAGTGGGTTTTTCTCTGAGGTAAGTTATTTTGTTGTTTTTAGCTTACCTTTATTTCTGTTATGTTACTATTCTTTTATTTGCCTTTATTTCTAGCAGAATCATCGCCCATTGAATATACTTATTTGAGTGATAGTAACTTCTTGAAAGAGAACCAAATTTGAGTCAGTAATTTACCTCCTTTTGCTTCTTACGTTTGCAGTATCTTAAAATAGAACAAAATGCTTCACAGGCTGCTATAAACACCCACAATGACAATTTGACCTGTAGAGATTTAAATGAAGTTTTGGAAAAGGAGAAATCTCACCTGCAATGAGGATCACTAAAGGCATTTTCTCAGCAAACTCACTCTAGTTCAGTACAGTTGATCTCAATAAAAGTGTTTGTACAGGTGCATATATTTAGAGACATATATCAAGATGTTTACTGACACATAATTTTAATAGATAATGACCAGAACTAGTCTAAATAAATTATATAAAGACTAGAGTATGTGCTAGTTCTTAAAAATGAGGTTGATATTGATCTGTTTTGACTTTGAAAATTATAGTACAGGTTAAAAGCTGTGCTTTTTATTTATTTATTTTTTTTTGTGGTCTCAAGATGCCTTGAGGGCATCTCTGGTTTCCTGGGAGAGACTGGGTTCGAACCAGTGCATCTTGGGCCTGACTGCTTTGTTTAAGCAGGCACTGAAACAACTGCGCTAATGGGCAGGCCCCCAAAGAACTGAGCTAGGGCCAGGCCCCCTGTGCTTTTTAAATATATGGACAATTACTTGTTTTTCTAGAAAATGGGTTGGAAAGATACATGCAGCTCTGTTAGAGAGGGATATTGGATATTTTTGTGGGCCAGTAGAATCTATTCACTTTTTATCTCACATAGTCATCCCTCAGTACTCAAATGCTTTGAAACACTTCAAATTTGATATTCGGTATATTTTGACATGAATACTTTGTGCTGATACTCATTTATTTGATACTTGACTGGCAAACTAGAACTTGTCAGCATTGAGTATTCTCCTGACAAACTACCCTTTCTAGCCAAAATAATTTGTTTGGTACTTTGTATTTGTACCACTCAGAACCATTTAACAGTGAGTACCAAGATACCATACTCAGTGAGTGCTGAGATACTGTTTTAACCTTCATACAACTGGAATAGACACATAAATGACGTAGTTAACACTTGTCACAGAAGTGAGTTTTGTGGTACCTTTCTTATGCCATTCAGTTAGTAATGACTAGCCTATATGCTTACCTTTTCCTTGTATCCATATTTATAAATTCAATGCTAGGTTTGTGGATGGGCAAAAAATTTATTTTATGAATTATTGGGATTTTAAAACTTTACAGTAAGAAAGGAAAAAAAACAGATTGTAAATTTATTCACATTATATTCAACTGCAAATCTCCTTCTGAAAGAACCACTTTTGGATAATTTAAAACTATGTCAGACTATTTTCATTGAAGAAAATAGTTTCAGATCATGTTCCGGAGTGCTTTTTATTAAATTAGCTTATTGCCTTTCAGGTTTCTCAGGACCATGAAACAATGGCCCAAGTTTTGTTCAGCAGGAATTTGAGATTGAATGTAGCTTTAACTTTCTGGAGAAAGAGAAGTATAAGTGAACTTGTAGCTTATTTGGTGAGGTAAGAGTGACCTTTTATGTACTTACTCAAAAAATAATTTTCTTTCTTTTTTTTTTTTTGTGGTACTAGGGATTGAACTCAGGACCCTGTGCTTACCAGGCAAGCGCTTATTCTACTGAGCTTATTCCCCTGGCCCTAATAACATAATTTTTAGTGTGATATTAAAAGTGCCTCATCATGTTTTTAGTGGCTACAAAAGTTTAACTTCCTTTGTTTAGCTTCCATAGAGACAATGGTATGGTTTAAATTACATTCCTCACCAATCTAAGAATAAACAGAGTACAGGAAACCATTTCTGTTTATCAAATTGAGCAAAACTATTAGTTTTTGTTACTACTTTTCTATAAAATGATACTCGTGGGAAAACTTAACCTTTTAAAAATCCCCTTTTTGAGATTTTTTTTTTTTTAAATGTATTTGGTATAGAGTCTCACTGCGCATCTCGAACTCATAGTGGTCATCCTGTTTTCAGACCCTCAGTGCTGGGATTACAGGCGTGCACCCCCCCCCCCCCAGTCTCGGTGGCTGGCTCAGTGCACGCTTGCCTAAGCAAGCGCTTAGGTCCACTGAGCTATCTCACCAGCCCTTTTGCTTGGGAACTTTAAGTATTACCTTCCTCATGTTATTCAGATCTCTCAAATACCCTTAGGGGAGCCCTTCCTTGTCCACAATACTTAAAACATCTTAATTTTTTACTTCTGTCTTCCTCTGTTGTTTTCTGTATACTATTTACCATTTTCAACCTACTCTATATATTTAACTTGTTTATTGTCTGTTTCTTAACCACCTCCATATCCAGTACTCACCTGTTAGGATGCAAGCTCTGTTTTCTGCTATATTCCCAACACCTGACTTATCATCGTCACTGAAATTACTTAGTAAATAATGAATTTCTCAAAAGCAAGAGCTTGGTGCAAAAGCCCATGGTTCAATTGCTAGTCCTGAAGGAGAAGGAGAAGAAAAGAGGAAATAAAAAATGAATGAGTAAACAAAGGGAGGGAGAAAGGGAAGGAACAAGAGAAGGACAGTCAGGCAGGCAATAATAAATCAGCAGTCTAAGGTGTGCTACTTTTCTTGTACCCACAGAATAGAAGACCTTGGAGTTGTGGTAGATTGCCTTCCTGTGCTCACCAATAGGTAAAGACAGTATTTTTCACAAAAAAGAAAGCTTAAAGAAAACAAATTATAGCCCATTTATATTTTTATAACTTAGTATTTCTTTTAGTTTACAGGAAGAAAAACAGTATATCTCACTCGGCTGCTGTGTAGATTTATTGCCTCTAGTAAAGTCATTACTTAAAAGCAAATTTGAAGAGTAAGTGCTAATCTAAATTTCAGTTTGTTTTTCTCCAGCAATTTTGATTTTGTGCTTTGTGCATATATATGTGCTAGGTCAGCCTCCATGAGATACTTGTGATTCTTGTTTTTAGAGGGCTATAGTATGATTAAGAGAGGAAAATAAAGTTAATAATTACAAAAGTATTTACAAGTGTATACATAAAGTACAGCTTTGTGAACTATTTTAGAAAGAAAAATCAACGTGTATATGTGAGTTTTTTTTTATGGGGAGGATCATCTTTGTAAAAGCTTCTTAGAGAATGACACTGATCTTTATAACACAATGTCATTTCAGATATGTAATAGTTGGTTTAAACTGGCTTCAAGCAGTAATAAAAAGGTGGTGGTCAGAACTGTCATCCAAAACAGAAATTATAAATGATAGGTAAGTATACCTTCAAAGGTAAATTCATGTTGGAATTTCTTTAGGAAAGCAACTTAAATAAGGTGGTAATTTAATTCCATGATCATCAGTGTGTAATATTTAGGTCTTTCATTTTCAGATATATAGTAATTTATGATAGTATTCATTTGTGAAAATCATATAGAATTTGAATTGAAGAGCTCAGTATTCCCTTGGATCTCTTCTTCTGGTAAAATAATACCCTTCATTTTAGTAACAGATCACAACAATAGTTACTCCCATATCTATTTTATGAAGAAAAAGAATAAGGGAGAAGGAAAGAAATGCTTTCAGGGGGCCAGGGATATAGCTCAGTGGCATAAGCGCCTTCTGGGTAAGTGCAAGGTCCTGAGTTTGATCCCTGGTACCACCAAAAAAGAAAAAAAAGAAATACTCTTCGTGGAATAAGAAATGAAGGCATCCTGCAGCATCCTTTTTCTATCTGGGATATTAACCTGAGAATCCAATGCTATCCCACTTCTGAAAGCTGTATTATAATCTGAGTACTGAGTAGGTATGAAATGTGTATTTTATCAAATGAGCCATATTTTCATGAAGGCACAAAGAAAGTATTTCTCAACAGTGTCTTTAAAGTCTGTACTTCTTTCTTAGCTCTCAGAGTTTCCCACTTCATAGCTAAGAACAGGTTATACAAATGCCTTATTTTATCAGCTGACAACTAAATAACCTTGAGTTTCTGTGATTGATATATGCTATTTTAGACAGTTGCTTGACTTTAAGTAATATGTAGTTCTCTTTTGATAAAACTTTGAAAAATTTAAAGCTGTTTTTATTAAGTATATTTACTACCAAGTCCATATCCTAAGAAATGAGAAAATATTTCTCATTTTTTATGTTTTTTTTTTCTTCCTAGAAATATTCAGATTTTAAAACAACAATTAAGTAAATTGTGGGAACAGGAAAACCATCTAACTTTGGTTCCAGGATATACTGGTAATATAGCTAAGGTAATCTATATTTAAGCTTAAAATTTAGGCATTAAAAATTAGAAATAATAATATTGTACATGTATAAATAAACTTTTCATATCTCTAGGCACAATAATTTGATACTGTTCTAAAGGTAGGCAAACTTGGTAGCACACACTTTAATCCTAGCATTCTGGGAAGTTGAGGCAGGAAGATCTCAGGTTCAAGCCAAGCCTGTACAACTTTTCTCAAAAATCCTTTTCTTGAGAAACTAGGATGGGGGAATGGAGAAAAAAAGGAAGAGAAGGGGGGAATACACACACGCACACGCACACACACATACACACACACACACGTGTGTGTATATATATATATATCTCAGTTATACTGCTTATTTTTCTTAGTTCGTTAAAAAGAAAGGTTTATGCTAATATTGTTTGGACAGTTAAATACCACTATCTTGCACTCTGAATAACTAATTTAAAGATAATGATATGCAATGTATCCAGCATTGTTATCCTCCTGTTAATCTTGTTTTCAATTTTTATTATATTTTTTTCTCTTTAAAATAAAGTCTTGGGGCTGGCCAAATAGCTCAGCATATTAATAAGCACAGGGGCCAGGGGTTCAATCCCTGGGTCTGCCATGCCAACAGTCACGCCCCCTCCCCGCATGCTGAGGTGGCAATTGAGACTAGCCAAGGAGGCATGTGCATGTAATCCCAGCTCTTGGGAGGCTGTAAACAGGCAGATCACTGCAAGATGAATCTAGTAGTGAGGCCTTGAATACTTTGTAGACCCTTCCCTAAAATACAATAAAGAAAGAAAGTCTTGAAGAAAAGGAAATTTTCTCAAAAAAACCCACCTGGGTTCAGTCTCCTCAGTACAAGAAAAGAAGGGCTAAAGGCAGTTTCATTTTCACAACTGCTTAGTCTCTTTGGTGTTATCTAGGCAGGAAACAGGAATTAGCCACTGAATGTGTTTCACATCCAGTCACAGAAATGTTGTGCTAAGGAGCAATGATCTAGTTTTAGCCAGAAAAAAATATTTGAAAAATAAAAAGAATCAGGATGACATCAGAAAATGCAGTGACACTCAGGAAACAAGAGAAAAAAATACAATCAAATGGTTGTGGAATATTAATGTGTAATTTGGTTTTGCTAATGTTAAGCATTTTGAAAAATAACTACATGTTTAAATCACAGAATAAATGTAATGTTGCTCCTTATTGATTTGACTCTTAAAGGAAAAGGTATTTTGCTAGTTTGGATTGTAATACTTGAACTCCAGAAAACACTGGTAGTTACAATTACAAAAAAAATATTGTTGCCAAGTATGGTGGTGCATGCGCATGCGTGTAATCCCAGCACTTGGGCAGCTGATGCAGTAAGATTGCTAAAAGTTTGAGACTAGCTTGGACCACACAACAAGACGTTTTCTCAAAAAAAAGTTGAGAAGTATTTCCAGGATAGGGATGCAGCTCAGTTGTGCAGCACTGGCTAGCAAATACAAAGCCCTGCATTCAATCCCTGGTGCCAACAAAGAAAAGAGAAAAACCTTCCCCCGAAGGTTTTTTTTTTTTTTTTTTTTTTTTTGCAGTTGAAATAAATAAAATAGTCTTTAATAATTTAAAGTAACATTACTGTACAATATGAAAATAAAGATACATAAATGTTAGGCTCTATAATGCCATAGAAATAAAATAATTATGTATTACACAAAACAGTGCAAGAAAAAAATTCAAATAAGCTTTTGGAGTGCAAAGTTTAAATTTCCCATTGTAACTTATCATGCAGACATAGCACTCAAGCCATGCAATGGTCTATGGCAAAGTCTGTGAGCCAGATGTGCACTTACTTAGAATCCAAGCACTAGGAGGCGGCAGAAGCACCACAACTTCAAGGCTAGTCTGGGCCACATAGTGAGTTCAAGGACAGCCAGAACTACATATTGAAACCCTGTCTCAAAAAATGAACCAAAAAAGTATTTCCGTTCCATTTACTAGACCTGATGGTATCATAAGTGAACATTATTCAGGAATATAAAAACATTATTTGGTTTAAGAAAAAATATTCTGAATAAGGGGATTTATGTCATAGACTTATAAAACTTATTAGTTACCTTCAAAAAAAGAAAATGTTATCAAGCAAGGCATTATCACTCTGTGATTTTACTCTATGGAATTCTTAATGCTGAGAATCTCATGAACATCAGTTTCCTAGAAGTTTTTGTTGTTTCAGGTATTTAGAGTATGCATAACATAATATTAAAGGGAGAGGCCTTGGGGCTGGGGAGATGGCTCAGTGGAATAAGCGCTTCCCTGGCAAGTGCAAAGGCCTGAGTTCAATCCCCGGTTCTGCCAAAAAAAAAAAAAAGAGGGAGAGGCCTTGTATTTTGGATAGAAACTGAGAGGTAATTATTTCCTTAGAAATATGTTTTCATGAAAAAAAACTTTCAATTTTTAATTTTTATAAAAAGAGGAGCTTTATTGCAAGTAGGACTTTATTATTGAAGACTGTTGAGTGATTCAAAGTTCAGCATGAAGTTCCCTAAGTCTATAATAAAACCTTTGTTATAAAATTAAACCCTCAGTTAAACTGTTAAGTGTTTGAAGTAGAAATCAGCAAGAGTCTTTCATTTAGCTAGCCTTGAGTTTATGTAGCACTGGTGGAATTGGTGTGTTATTTTAACTAGGAGATCAGTTATTTGAACACAGGACCCCAAAACATTTACTGATTTAGCTGATATTTATTAAATATGTGTAACATGTTAGGCCCTGTGCTAAACAAAGGAGATTTTTAAAGAAGATTGAGTAAAACTTGTCTTTTAACTTTGTAAGGTGACGAAGGGAATCTAAGGCAAATGGAGCAACAAAAAAGGCAAAATAACATGGATTGTGTGTGTTTGTATTTACTATACTGGCTAATGAATTGTTGTTGTTGTTGTTCTTTATTTTTAAGGATGTAGATGCTTATTTATTGCAGTTGCATTGAGAGATTTCATCTACTAAAGAACATTTGGTTATTTAAAAACATCCCTGGACTGTATGATTTTCAACTCTGAACTGTGGAAGAAATCAAAACAATCCTTTTCTTTTAAAAATCCACATAATGAAACCACTAATGAAATCCTAACAATCTACTTCACATTGAAGTGGAAAAATATCCAAAAGGAGCAGCTTCAACTTCAGCTTCAGTCAGGTGAAAATGCACTATGAAGATTGTTCACCTTTGCTGCATTTGGGGCTTATGCTTATTTAGTAACATTGTTTAAGAACTACTGGGTCTTAATGCAATCTTGCATTAAAATATAATTTATACTATGTGAGAAAACATGACCGAACTTATACTAGGAACCACAGAGACCAATCATGGATTTTTTGTGTTTCATAAAAAAAGAAAAATACCTACCTGTGTGCAGCTATTTTCCTATGTTGAAGAGACTTTCAAAATTTAAAACATCATAATAATCAATATTAAAATTTTTTGTATACACTTAAGATACTGTGTATACAAATGCCTTAATTATTAATAAGCCAATGTGTTATGATACCAATATCTTTTTGCTTTTAAAAAGTAGAACCAACAATGCTTCTGGCATGATAAAATCATGGAATTAAATCAGGGGTTTACATTCATATAGAATGTTTTTGTTAAAACATATTCCACACTATTTTTGATATGTGAGAATATTGTCAATATCTCTGATTTTTTTGGCCAGAATTTTCTTGTCATGTATGTATGTGTTATTACTGTGTAAAGAAAAAGGTGAATATATATCTGTATGAATGTTTAACTGGAAATGTCCTTGGAGTTGGTTAATTTATATTCACTTTTTACTTTGTATAGATCTCTTAATATTTTTTCATTTCTGTATCATTTAAACTCCATTTGAGTAAATTCACTAAATATTTCTATTTTTTGCTTTTTTACTTCTGATTTTTATATGAATTCTAATCCTTTTTCACTACATATGTTCTAAAGAGTTACAGTGCTTTAGAGTTGTTTACAGCTAATGCTGGCCTTGTATTTTAAATTCCAACACTATACGTTACTACCTCTTCCAGTGGTTAGTATGAAATGCCAGCAGACTGCATGTGATTATTTTTGTATGTCATTTTTTAAATACCATTTGTAATATCAGTGAACCCAATTCTGTAAAGTATTAATAGCTCTAAATCTTACCCATCTTGAAAGTGATTAGGGGTTTAAAACAACTACTGGTGGTTCATACATCATCTCATCTTTAATAAACCTGTTACAGGCATCTGAAGGAAGAATAAAGCAAATTTTTTATCTGCACAGAATTCCTAAAGAATATAAATCTTTAATATTTATGCAGTTAGTAACTATTCCAGCATCTTTTTTGCTGTAAAAATGTTTAAAATGTTACCCTTCACTGAATTATATCTTGGTATAGCTATATTTTATATATAGCTATATATTCCTCATGATGAGAATCAATTGTAGTAGTTGGTTGTTAAGTTTGAGTATTCTAAATTACTATACTCTTGATTTTAGAAGTGAGTTATTTAAGAAGTTATTTCTAAGATGTGGAAATTTGAATCATAAACTTGTGCCATCTGTGTGAAATCTTAAGACGATGAAAGGCAGCCTTTCTTTGTACCTGTTCCTTTAGTTATCACTATCTTACTTAACATTTGCATGCATCCACTTGGAGTATGGTGCTAATGCGACTGAGGACAGGAGTATGATGGCTAGAAGTTTGCTAACTTTATGCATGCACAAAATGATTTCATGACTACACATTGCACCTTCCCCGAGGTGTGTATGCTTTACCATAAATCATTATCCTCAAATGGGAAGATAAGAAAATGATTGACCTATTGTTACTGTAGTCTCCTGACATTTAAGATAAGCTATACAAAATAAGATACCTAAGATATTATATAATTTTTAGTTTCACGGTTGTGGGTTTTTTTTTTTTTTTTTTCTTTTAGACAGGATCTCACTATGTAGTTCAGACTAACCTTGAACTCACTATGTAGTTCAGACTGGCCTTGAATTGCAGCAGTCTTCCTGCCTCATCCTCCCAAATACTGGGATTACAGATGTGTACCACTGTGCCCAGCAGTTTCCCAGCATTAATACGGCTTCGTATTATTGGCTAAATAGTATCTATCAAAACCAAATTTCAGTAACTAAACATCATCAAAAAGTACAAATACAAGTGAAATAAAGTAAGAAAAAGTATTATCTTTTTTGTTTTGTTTTTGTATTTAGTACAGGGTCTACAGTGTCTCACTACACAGATTGGACTTGGAGTGACCCTCCTGTTTTCAGCCTCCCAAGCACTGGGATTACAGGTGCGTGTCTCCATGCCCAGTCTCAATCAACGTCTCAGCATGCCCCAGGGGCAGAGCTGGCATAGGCACCAGGATCCAACCCCAGTCCCTGTGCCTGCCTAAGCAGGCACTTTAATCTGCTGAGTATCTGGCTGGCCCAGTATTATCCTTTTAATACTGAAGGGTTTTTTTTTTTTTTTTTTTTTTGCCTGAATTTAGATTTGTTGAAGGCAAGTAAGATAATACTCTATATATACTTAGTTATATAAGGAAGTAGTCTTTAGATCATAAAGATTATTCAGTATTCACAGAGATTACTCCAATGTTCATTTTTTGCCCATTGCAGTTTTCCTTAGTACTTACCTCTCAGTTACAGAATTATGACGAGTATTAGGTGATTTTTAAGATTTTTTGAAAGAAAGATGTTAAGGCCGGGTTTGGTAGCACATACCTGTAATCCCAACACTTAGAAGGCTGAGGCAGAAGGATTGTTGCAAGTTTGAGACCAGCCTGGGCTACAAAGTGAGCTTAATAGCACCCTGAGCTGTATAGTGAGACCCCTGTCTCAAAAAGATTAAAAAAAAAAAAGAAGAAAGAAAGGAAGGTAGAAGTTTAAGTGAATAAGTATTGTTAACTATTTCTGTTGCTGTTAAGCTTTTCTCATGCTACTGTATTTTCTTTTATTTGGCCTTTTTTTTTTTTTTTTTTTTTTTTTGGTACCAGGGATCAAAATGAGGACCTTGCACTTGCTGGCAGGCACTTATGCTGCTGAGCTATGTCCCCAACTCACTACTGCATTTTAATTAGAGCATTCTTATATCTAGAAAGAGCCAAAGCAAGTGTTTGCAATTTGTTCAGGCTTTTGTACTGACCTAGTTTGGGGCAATTGTTATTTATAGTTCATTTATTTCATGATGCTAAGCAGTATACAAAATGGAGGAACTATTCAAGGTAGCCTTTTTAGGTTTTTTACCTTAAATTCCTATACTTTGCTAACTTTGCAAGTATAAGGACAGAGAATTTATTGAGGTGAGAGAGGGTTATAATCACATTCGCTTTTACTAGGGATAACATGAATGGATTTTGCATAGTGGTTATGACCAGAATAAGGGAAATAATCTCAAAGATCATTGGCACTAATTATTTACATGAATCCTGACATGTGAGAATTTGAATATAAGTATCCACTCACTTTGGGAAGCCATAAATATGAGAACTAAGCCCAGTGCTTCTAAGCATGCTTAGTACATGTCATTTGTGTGAGTTTAATGATATTTTTCTCACCTTTGAAACAGTTGTTTTCTCACTTAGATAACTTACCTGTTTTATATAAGCAATGGGTAATTAATCGGAGTGCAGATGTTAGCTGTTGAATGCTGATAATAGAAACTATTTAATAACTTAGTGAAGGACTCTGAAAAAGCAAGGCCTAATGTTTCCTTGTATTTCCATTTACCTTCCTGTTTAAGAGGAAGAATATGATGTCAATTGCCTTTGTTTAAAAAAAAAAAAAAAATCAAACAGCCCTGGACCATCCTGTTGGATACACTGCTTCTTTTTTTATTTTCTGATTACCTCAGAAATGATATTGCATATTGGTAGTTATTTATGCCTATTGTCTTGCATATTGGTAGTTATTTACTATTTTCTTTCTCCCTTCATTTCTAACTTTGAAAATTGTCAAAACACTTTGCAACATACTTCTTTATAATTCTATAATGAGTGTAGAAAAACTCATTCCTAAACACTGTATATTTCTAATTTGTAATACAACTTTATGAGTAATAGAACCAACTATAACAATAAAAGTAAATACTACATATTATATATTTACTATCCTGAATACATTTTCCAGTGTTCTATATAACATAATATTTAAAATACTATAGTCATTATAATTTTGTCTGGATCAAATTACTGATTTAATAGTATCTTCTAAAATCAAAGTTCAATAAAAATAACTACAAATACAAATAAAACAATATATACCATGGTATTTTTCTTTACAGACTATAAATAGTTATAAAACAAAAAGACAGTTACTGTTTACCAGTAATTCCATACAAGGACAAACCTGCAACTGCCAATGGATTTTTCTTAGCAAAACTTGTTATATATTCTTTTAATATACAGAATTATTATTTCGTGAATTAAGAAGTTTGGTTATTGGTGTTTGTCTTTGCAGTACTATGGCTCAAACACAGGACCTATAGCACATTAGGCAGGTGTTCCTCCACTGTCACACCTGAGCTGCCTAAGAAATTTTCAGAGGAGAAATGGTGGCAGTCCAGATAAAAATTCAGCTCCTAACCACTAGGAAGAATGTATGCAATGTGTGAATTATTGAAACTGTCCTACCAATTTGATTTGAAACTGTCTCATTGCTATTTGTTTATCAATAAAATTATGGGGAAAAAAAAGTTAAAAAATAAAATAAAGTGGACAACCAAAAACAAAAAAAAATTCAGCTCCTACATGCACAGAATCTGGTGTTGATTCTTAAACTTTATTCCTCATTTTCATTCAGATTTAAGCCAAGGTGATGATTATTATTACTATTACTATTTCAATATTTTAAATCTGGCCAGGACTGTTGTAACCCTGGATTTAGACAGAGCCTCATCTAATCCTAATTATTCCTGAAGGTCCCTATTGCTAAATACTGTTACCTATGAATTTCAAGAATAAGTTTCAAGGATGTAAACTGTTAAGTTATGTACACACTTCCCCACATGGTTTACAACCTCTTGGTAACCTCCCCTTCAGCCGGAATGAGTTTGTGGCTGTGTGTGGAATCGTTATGCTTTTACAAATGATTTGAACACTCCACAGAACTCACCCAGCTAATCATTTCCTTGTTTATCAGGCCTCAGCTTAACAGAGGCACTGAGAAGGCTTCTGTATGACCTCTGTGTTACGGCTCCCTGCCAGCCGCTCTCCAGAGCTGGTCTAGCCCTATGTGCACGTGTTGGGTACAGTAAATGCCTAGTTGTTTTCAGGTGTTCTCATATTCTCAGTATGTAGCACATAGTGTGGCATGCACTTGGCATTTAATTCTTACTGAGGA